AAAAGCCGTGTTTAGGTAAGCGACTAAACAGACCAAAGGTACGGCAAATGGAAAAAGAATTACTGACGGCGGTGTGAAGGGTCGTTTCGTTACAAGTTTTAAGAAACTGAATCATAGTGTGCTTTCCAGGATCAAAGAAAGCGGACTTAGTCGAAGAGAGAATCCGAAACGCTACAACACCTGCAAAGAATGACGCGAAAATGGCATGAGAAGTACTCCCGTCGAGTCTCATCCAGTAAAGAGCCGGTGCACCTAGACTAATGCCATTTGAGCGGAAGGAATTCCTCGAAGCTACGAGCTTCAGCGTCTTCATTCCTACACATCTTTTATTTTCTTGTGTGCAGCTTTACAATATGGCGAGAAGAGCCTTTGTGAGCCGCATGAGGATTTTCGAAGGACTGAGCCTGAAGAGGGAGAGCAGGAACTCCGGGGGAAGAGAACTTCTCACGCATCCTTCAGTCATTTCCTCCCCCTCTAATAATAAGGCTCAGCCTTCCACGTCTCGTAGAAAAAATTGGTCGTGGTCTTAAACGCGTTGGGCGCTCTAAACCGCGGGCTCCCCGCTCAATGAGAGCCCATTGCGTGATATGAATGCAAAAGGACCCCAACACGTGTTGCGCACTACCCGCCAAACGCATTGAATGACTGAACGTGTTTCGCCCAAGAGGCAAGCAAGAACAACGCGCTCCGCAGCGTAGCCGCGACGCAACCGCCGAGCGCGAATGTTCACGCTGGCGTTAGGTTCTTCTCTGTTTCCGTGAGTTTTAGATGGCAGCTAACTTGGTTTTACGCGGTCATATTCCGAAATTGTTAATGTAATTTCCACTATAAATCTTTATTGGTTGTTTTTTATAGAAGTATTGACAGTTTTGATGTGTGGAGCCGATCCTTCGCGAACACACCATTTTTATTGTTTGTATCTTTGCTGTTGAGCCAGTTCTTTGTTGAAGTTCATGCTTGTATTTGTATGTATTTGTATTCTATCCGCAGTTCACTTTTGTCCCCAAAACCTACGTCCAGAATGGTTTTTTTTTGTCAAAAGCGATACATATCTTGTACCCATGTATCATTGGCTAGAGCATGGTTTGGCATGGTGCCAGTATGCGTTGGTAATTTCGTCCACGGCGCGCGGTCTTCGCCGCAGTCCGTTTGCCTGCCGCAACCAACGGCGACAAAGGGGGTCCCGTTTCCCGGTTCCTGAAGGGATTTCGCCGCTTTTTTCGCCACAGGCGTACTACTGAGGCCTCCCACGTCCCCTATAAGCGCAATCAGAACCCATCGTGATTGCTGTCTTTAATCTCCATCAGAAAGCAAAGGATGACTGTGTTTTGTACTGTATGCCAAACGAGGTTTTTAAGATGGAATCTTTATTTACTAGCCTGACGTTTCGACAGCTTCGCCTTCTTCAGAGGCCTGGAGATAGTCTGAAGCTTTTGATTCGTTAGCTACTAAATCTACCGCGCACAGTATTCTTGACGTCAGAGAACGTCGAGAATACTACGGCTCCGTAGTACAGGGTGAAAATGGCTTGAGGGAAAGACAATGGCTTGTCGAGGATTCTTTCACGCTCTCCCACGCGGATGCTCACTCTCGCCAGTTGCGAGCCGTCTGTGCTTCATTTGCATCCATTCACTCTCGACACTACTCTCACACGGTAGAGAGCCATGGTCGAGGAATTCCTCGACCGTTATTCACCCTGCCGTAGTATTCTCGACGCTGTCTGATTGTGCGCGGTTGATCGAGTAGCCAACGAATCAAAAGCTTCAGACTATCTCCAAGCCTCTGAAGAAGACGAAGCTGTCGAAACGTCAGGCTAGTAAATAAGATTTCCATCTTAAAAACCTCGTTTGGCATACAGTACAAAACACAATTGCAGCAAATTGAACATCAAATGCCGAGGTTCCAAGAAAGGACGACATGGAGACTACTGCAAAGCATAACGTCCAGAGCCCTCATTAGTTCCACCTCCTACAAGATTAAAAAAGAAATTGCTACTTATTCTGAAGCTTCGACCAAATTCTCGCTCAGTGTGACCACCCGGCACGTAACCTTTCTTTTTTGCGACGATTTGCCCTTTTCGAGGACCAACAGTTGCTCTCCTTTCCTGATAACCTGAAAAAGAAAAAAATGATAACTGCCACTCAATTTCATAGAGCAAAAATGAAATGCAACGAAGAAATACGGGGCGGCTGTATCATTTGGAGACATCGGAAAAGCGATCCTCTCTGGAGAGATTAGATTTTAAAAAATTTGGCGTTCCCAACATGGAATTTTGTGTTGCTTTTCGAAGTTGCAACCAAATTTGACACAGTTTCCTCTTGGACGTTTTCCAGGAACTTTGTGGAATTCGAGATTTTGAACAATTTCTTGGTGGCTGTATCATTAGGAGACGTAGTGTAGAGACAACCGTAAATTGCCCATAAGGTTAGTCCGATGTGCTGATTACGCAAAAGGGAAATTAAAAAAAATTCCTGCATTCATTCTTGACATATGTGTCAGCTGTGATCACTGCAAACAGCACACGAAGTTTCACGTATGAAGATTCAGTTTTCGTAGAGAAACAAATGTCCAAAAACTACACGCTATGGACACCGAAGGTAATTTGGGCGGAGCCAAAGGCGGGCATGGAATAAGCCCGCAGCAGAGTCAACCCTGCGTTGCGCAGTTTTCAACGGCCACGTTGCGCAGTTTCGCCCGATTAGACACGTTCTCCCGCGCGAACATTCACACTCGCATGCTCGAGCCGTCTGCGTCTCCGCCCATACAGCGTGCGTTGAGGATCTTTCAACGTGCGTTGCGAACTGCGCAACGCAGGTTGACTCTGGTCCGCAGTGGGGCGCCTAAGTATCAGGTGACGCAATGAAAGATTCGGAATATAGCGCCGCGATTTCGAAGAGTGGAGACAAGTCAATCGATAGAATAGGATAGAGTAGAAGTGTAAGATGTGAATGTAGTACGTTAAGAGGCCTGAAAAAGTTTCTATTGGGGGCACTCCAAGAACCAAGTGGAAGCGTCGCCCTCACCAGCATTTGTGAAAGACGTTCGTGGGCGATTCGAACGCGTAGCAGCCATTTCGTTTCGAATTTTGTACCAAAACAAAAGCAATATTTCTGTTCTTTTTATTCTAATGGTGGATAATGAGTCTCAAGCCAACGATTTGTGGCTGAAATAGAGTCATGGTTTCTCCGTGAAAGATTCCTTTAACCCTTCTTTTTTGCGACGATTTGCCTTTTTTTGAAATCTAACAGTTGCTTTCCTTTCCTGATAACCTAAAAAAGAAAAAAATGATAACTGCTACTCAGTTTCATAGAGCGAGAATGAAATGCAACGAAGAAATGCGGGGTATCTGTATCATTTGGAGACATCGGAAAAACGATTTTCTCTCGAGAGATGAGTTAAATTTCGCACTCCCAACCTGGAATTTTGCGTTGCTTTTCGAAGTCGCAACCAAATTTGACACAGTTTTCCTCTCGTACATTTTTCCAGAAACCTTGCGGAATTTGAGGTTTCGAACAATTTCTATGTGGCTATACCATTAAGAGACGCAGTATATCGACGCAAGTACACTGCACCAGCGGAGGTGTTTTTACGTTATATCGGCGTGATCTGATCTACCTGAAACTCTTTTTCTTCCCGTGTAAGTACATGGCACGGGAGATTGGTGCCCTCCACGTTCTTTCCCAACATCATTGGCAATCTACGAGCCTAACGGGATCGCGACTTTCCCAACGCAGATTTCCCTTTTTGTAATTGGCTAGTTACTCTTATGCATTCGTATATCTGTTGATTCGCTCTTTTGTGAACGCACGTAATGTATGGATGCTTTTATGGACCTGAAAAAGGGCTTAAAGGCAAAGTTCGGGCTCAGGCCCACATAGTGAGACTATACTGTAGCTAGAAGCGCTGAGGACGCCAGTGTAGAGGTCGCTTCACTTTCCTACTTCGAAAGGAATCATTTAGACGCTTGGCGCTAAGAACTTTGACAGGCTCTACCTGTTGAGACACCCTCCGCCCACCGCTCGATATCTTGTCTGCGTCGTTAACTTCATCTGCAATGCTCTCTCTACTTGCACTCCTCTAGCGCTCTCCGCGCTCACATTATCTCTCGTTTCCCTGTCCGCGTTTTGAACTTGTCCACGGCACGGAGCAAAAGGCTTGTTTTTCCTGTGTATTTCACGATTTTTTCCTTTTTCCTCCACTGGTGGTCCACCTTCTACCCCTACTTTCAAATTTGACTGGAATTACCTCATCAATCTGATTCTGAATCTTGCCTTTAAGGCTGGATACGTCGACAAAGTTTTTTTTTGGAAGAGCTTCAATTTTATGAAATACGAAGAAGTCTTATGACGTTGAACTTCTATGTAAACCTTTTCCAACATCTGAGTTCTAGCGCCCGAAAACCATGAGAAATGAGGCGGCGACGCCAACAAAATCGCTTAGGTCCCACCCGCTGAAAAAACCCAAAGCGTCATCAACGGTTAAACGGGCCGCGTGCGATCACATGTTTTACCGCTTCAAATCAGTAACTTGCACACGTCACCTCTTGAAAAGATGTCATCCTAAAGAACCCCGACAGATGGGGTAAGCCACGAATGATATAGAATCAGTTTATCCGTGCATGGAACGTAACGTGCTCACATGATTAGCAATTATGTATAACTTCTGGGACGCTAAACAGACGAGATCAATCTGCAAACCCGATCGCAAAATGCAGCTGACAGATTTCCAAAACAACGCAACGATCAAAGCAATCCAAGTAACAAAACACTACGTAATAAAGTATGGACAGTAAAGAATCTCTGAAGAAACCAAGAGGAATTGAAAGACATTTGATGAATGACACCGATCATATGTGCAACGAGAAACGTTGAAAGATTTGTTGATAAAAAAGGTGAACCGTCAGCATGAATGAGGAATAGGAAATCATTATTACTTTTCTACAATGGAATACATACATACAATACTGAACACCACTGAACAAACAATTATGAAAGACTTCACCTGAAAGACGGCGACCCCGGTGTCCACCATAGATTCTCTTTAGGTGGTTTGTTGCTATTTTCTCCCGGCGTGAAATAAGGCGATAACTCAAGCGTAGAACTCGACCTGATCGGTAGACTCATCAACGAAAACTTACTCATCGTTCTATGGAAAGAACCCCGTGGCGAATTCAGCACGGAATGGCTCTTTCTATGAGGCCTTGTCGTGGATCTGATTCCCGGTAGAAAAGGTTCTGTGTGTAAGTGGTCGTCTTGGCGATGCGACGAAGAATCCCATGGGGAATGTCGATAGAGGTTGTCTGCGGAATGAGATGTTTGACGAGTTCGGCTAAAATGACGTGAGCTATGCGGTTCGTCTGTTAGATCACTAGTTGATTTCGTGATGTACATTTCATGACGTCGTATTGCGATCTTTCGACTGATGAGTGCATGATGATGCGAATTTCTCGACGAAGTCGGCATGTCTGCGTCGATAGATATCTTTCTGGCTGGTTTCCTGACACTGTCCGCATCCGCTGACTTTTCCCATTTCGACCTCGAGAAGAACGATTCATCCTTTGATGAAATCGGACGAACAGCGTAATCCTTACCACTGCCCTCGTATGGTTTCTTAGAGCTTGCTCGACGCCTAATATGTGAGCGTGACGTCAGAGCACCTTGTGGGGATGATCTTTCAATCTGGTCCAGACGATCCATAGAACGGCGAAGGGTGACATCTGGAATGTCTGGTGATCTCACAAGGGGAGAGCGACTACGAACTGGCTTCCGTTTTGTTGACGATGCTTTTGAAGAAGTGTCAGATGACGAGGGTTCACAAAGCCTTCGTCTCCGAGGAGGTGTGGATACATCAGCTTTCTGGCGCGGTTTCCACAGCGCAAACGGTTCAGTTCTCTTCTTCTTAAGACGCTCGATTGCAGCTCGCGATTTCGAGGCCGTCGAACGGAACTTCTTACCACTCGGTATATCAACATCCGTTTGAGACTCAGACGCATCTTCTCCTGAGGTTTTCTTGTGCACATAGTGATGCCATTCAGAAAGCGATCGTGTCGTGTTTGGTGCTGAAATGGAGTAGTCTTGTGGCTGATTTTGGAGCGCAGCTTCGGCTGCTATCTCAGCGCTCTTCTCGGAAATGCTCGACAGTTGACGCTCAGGTCGCCTCTCTCTCCTCCTAGCTAACGTAGATGGATGGCTCCCAGACTGTGCGAGGCGCTTGAAGGTGGAGACCTAAAATAGACGGAATTGCCGAAATGCTTTTTCGCTTCATGCAACAAGACAACTACACATTAATGCTACAGCTATATATGGGAATAGTTAGGAGATGTTCTACATTGATGTGCAAAACTTAAGGACGAGACAGATGAAGTATCATAACCTTTTGATGCTTTGTGGGCCGTTCAACGGTTCCTGTTGGCTGTTTTCTTTAGTGCCCTGTGACAGTTCTTTGTATGTTTGCTTAGGTTCCATAGAGTCATGTTACGCGCCAGTAACACGTCGTTGGAAAAGCTAAGTTCGTCCCTAAGTTTTGCAGACCAGTGTATTATAGATTGCTGAATTTTCTACTTAAGCCAGTATGTCAACTGAGAATGACCAGAAACTCACCTCTGGATCACTCTCATCAGTTGAGCTATGCTTTCCATGGTCAGGCGGTTTCAGTAGCTGTCGACTTCCAGAAGATGCCTTCGCTGTTCGCTGAGGTGGTTCAGGTTTTTTGACGGCAACTTTACCTTTCTGCTGCTCGCGAGCTTTTTTCGGCACAAACATGGACGTGGCAGTTGATGATGTGGCCTTAGAGGGGCTTTCACGTTTTGGTGAAGGACGTTTAACGTGTCTGGATTCGGTAGTTACACGCACATTTGGAACGCTAGGTCGTGGACGTGGCCGTTGGGCAAGAGCCTGTTTCGAAGCTCGAGTTTCAACAACCGCGACAGTTCCTGGTCGATCCATTACCCGATCCTCAAACGATAGAGCGGGTATATCGTGCGGAGAAATTGGCAGCACAACGCCTTGCCGTGAAATTTCCTCCACAATCTGCTCATCACTCTGCGGCATACCCGATCGACCCATTGTTGTTGGCAGTGTTGCAGGTTTCGCTTTGTCGACAGTAACACCAAGCATGTCCGCCAGCTTGGCATCTCTTTCGCCCCTGAAACAGGTTCGAATATACTATGAGAGCGAGCGTAACTCTATCCAAACACTACAGTCCTATGACCTGGCCTAGCATTATCTCGTTTGCAATTTTGCGCCACATACAGTTCAGAGGATTTTACGTTAAGGTCAAAGGTCTAAGAAGAAAGAATACCCCCGGTTGAAAGGTTCGAAAGGTAAGTGGGCTCTCCCGGAGTGCAGGACGTCACATAATTCGGAGCAAAATGTACGACCCGGCAGCCTTACAGGACCATACCCACGTCGTTCACACCGCTGCCCGCTCTTTCCCTTGCCGTCTGACTCTCGTTGTTTTGCAGAGAAAGCGATAACGTTATGAGATCCACATAAACGCGGAGACCCAGGGCAAGAAAACGTCGCAGTTCTCAAGGTTTTTTCTCTACCTGTGCACCACCGACCACCTCTGAAGGGTCGCCATTCATTTTCGCCTTCAAAGGTATGCCACTGGATAAGTGGATTCTTGCACACGAATATGAAATGAAATTATTTAGGCCGGATGAAGCGCCAGAGAAGAAAACGAAAAGAATCTGTTGGAAACGCTCGAATCAAGGGCCTGTTCATCTTCGCTAAGGCAGTGAGAAGCTGAATGAGGAGAAGAGGTAACGCAAGAGAGCGAACAGATGAGAGGGGTCAGACCGAAGCCGGTGGCGGATGAGAAAAATTCGAGCTGTCAAACTGCCTTAGCAGTGCCCTAGCGCCCTTGCCGATCGCTATCAACCCACGGGACTGCCAAATCTGTGTCTGTCCTCTAGGCTCTATCCTTCAGAACGATAGAACGAAATCATTCACTCGTATTCTGCCTAATTTCTGCCTTTTACGCAGGAATTTACGACTAACCCGGTGTCATTCTCAAAAAATCTGATCATGCGGGAAAGAGGCCAATCTTCAGTTCCGAAAGATTGGCTATAATCACAAACTCTCTTACCTCGCAGAAGGTGTTGGAGTGAGCAGAGTGGCTGGAAGTGTGTCTTCTTCAGATGTACCGTTTTTGTCACTAACGACTGCTTCGGGCACTTGTCTATGTGAAGTTGTTGGTCGCGTTCCAGGTCTAAAAACGTTGCCATTTTTCAGTGCCTTCAACAAGCGCATACTACGATTCTATTTCTTATTTACAGGAACTCGCTGAATTAATAGCTCCAAGTATTACCTTGACTTACCACCTTCGACTTCTAGATCTTTAGGTGGCTCTTTGTATTCCGGTGAGTGTTTGTCTTTCGGTGGTGATGCAGTTTTGATAGGAGCTTTAGCGAAGTTATCAGGATATCTACTTTGGATTAGTGCTTCTAGTGAACTTGAGGTGCTGTCTTGATCTGAAAGAATGCATAATAAATGCTAATCTAGTTTGCACATCCTACTCATAGCGTCAATTTGGAAGAACATACACTCAAAAAGTCACAAATTTCATGGGATAGCCTATTTGATTTTCAGAAGCCAGCGTCACCTATTCACCATTTATTTATCAGCGACGGAGTGGTTGTTTATCCACGAGCTATGAAGAAGGGAACGTACGTATTTAGGATTTCAAAAGGAGCATACTCGGCGATGGATTAGGGCGCCATAGTGCTGCCACATTCAAATACTAGCACAGAAACAGTCGTTTTAATCTCCAACTAGAAATTATCAGAAATCAAATGGATTTCCATCTGGAGCTAAGGAAAAACAGTTACAAATCGTTTGAAAATACTTCATACAACAGAACCTGGCTTCATGTATACGTCGTATCTGATGCTATTGCATCCAAATGTTTCGGACATTTCGAGTTCCTTTTTGTCAACTACAATTGGTTTGAACAATTTTCATTGGTGCCTCCCCTTTTACGGCTTTATCGTGTTTTTTGTAAAACAGTTTTCTGTTGAATTCACCACATAGATACCTTCAAACATGAAAAAACAAAAACGGGATAAAGTAATGGTGTTGATGGAAGAACAGCTCAAATATATTATATCTATATTCGCCGCGCATCCCACGGTGGTGAACATAAAAAAAGGCGCCGGACGCCACGGCAAAAACGACTGTTCGGAAAGGGTAAAAAAAACTGTTGGATAGTGAACATTCCATTTGAAGCCCCATGGTTGTTTCTCCAGGGGCTTCTAACCAATTCTTCCGCAACGGACTCCAGAAGCCCCTGCACTGCAGTTCCACTACGTCCTGGAACGAAGAGAAGAAACGCGTTAACCCACTGCGTACCGCGGCGTTGTTTCGCTAGCCGGTGCATGTGGCCGGCGCCTGTCTGTACGCGCGGGAGCGGGCTGCGCGGACTATGAGTAAAGCTACTCCATTTATGTCATTTGCATTTACTGTAAAAGCACAGTACAAATATCCTATATATTCAGGAGATTTCCTGCTTGCACAGGGATAGTGGAAGGCATTATCAACAAACTTAGAGCAGCACGCGTTGCGCGCGCAACACAGTTCCGCGGCGATATATGGTGCGTCGCAAATTCTCGATTTGGCCCGATACACTGCGGATGTTTGACTTGTCAGCTAGGTTCTATCCGCTCCACAACCGAAAGCTTTTGATCTCTCCTTCTTCGCAACCATTACCCGCTTTTCCCGGTCTTTAGACTACCTCTAGACCGATCTTATAAATCTCGTCGTGAACTCCGCCTATTTCGGTGCATGTCTCACACAACTTTTTCTTCCTTGCCAATCTCTCCCACGTTTTCCACGGTCTATGGACTGTCTCTGAACGATTTGTATGCTCGGCGGCAAACCGCGCCTACTTTAGTGCATACTCCACCCACCAGTGAAAATTGACTTCCTTCCCTTCGCCAGCCTCTGTCCACTTTTTCCGAGCTTTGGAACTTCATAGAAACACCATGAGTTTGGCAACGAACCTTGCCCACTTTGGTCATGCCCCGCCCACCAATGGAATTTGATTCATTTCCCTTGGATAAGCTCCATCCACTTTTTTCCGGTCTCCACACTGTCTCTGAACCAACTTCTAGGTTTGCGAACAACCCCGCCCACTTTGGTCATGCTCCGCCCAGCGTGACAGCTGACCTACACTCTTGCACCTTACGTTATCTAACTTCTTGCGGCTCACCCCGGCCTGAATTATGAGAACTCGTAGAAAAGCTGTACACTTCAGAGCACGCTCCGCCCATTGTGGGAGAGCCTCCGCCCACGTCATGTATGCTGGAAACACTTTAGACATCATTCCCCTACGCTGACCTTTTTCTGCTCTATAGACTTCAAACTGAGTTATGAATTTTTTCATGGAGTACCGTTTTTTTTTGAGAACGCCCCGCCCACCGGGGGTGGGTCTCCCTAATTCGATCTGACTTACCAACCAGCTTCACCCAGTTTTTCACCTGTTGAGACTGTTTTGGAATAGTAGCTGAAATCTTGGTCCACCACTCACTTCGATGCACGCCACGCCCACTGTGGGTGGAGCTCCGCTTAGCTGACGTATGTTTTGAACTTCACGACACCTTGCACACCCATTCCACAACACTTGACCCGGTCTCTTCAGACGGATCACCAGGAGCTAGGACATTTCGTGACAGACGTACAGGGCGACAGGCGACAGGCAGAACGACAGACGGTAAACGAAGCGTGTAATATTAGGTTGATCCGTCTTGCAACAATCTAGCTAAATTTTGATTTTAAAATTTCATTATCTTTTTGGCCCATTCATTCGACATAATACATGTCATCAATGTCTACCACCCATTGCCACGCAGTAGAGGCTGTTCGATGCCTCTCTTGTAGAACTACGTTGAATGCTATTCGATGAAAGATCAAATGTCGATTATGACATCATGATGGTTGGGATGAGATTTGTTCTCTAGGAGGTGGTCTGGAGATGGAAGCAAGTGGGCATGCTTTGAAACGAGGTCAGGGTTACAAGGTTTGTATGGAAGAATTCTCCGTCCTAGAGTGCCACAATTCCCCAGTGGTTTCTAAGCGAGAGGTGGTTCAACGGTGTCATGAAAAGCAAACATTCTTTTGCTTTTCTTTCGTATTTAAGGCGTTGCAATCGAGTTGGGGCCGGCTGACTTCCGTATTGACTGCAACATCTACACGTAGGGGCTTCCATAGCTCAACTCCTCTCATACCCTACCTAAAATTCGAGAAGGCCCAACTTGGACGAGGTTGAGTAGTAAGAGCTCCCAACGCGTTTGAAATGGACTATCGCTGCATGCTTATTTGTTTGCACATTGCACTCTCTACACATACCAAGCAAGCGTGAAAGATGGTCAATCGATGAATCCATAGTAAGCCGACTTCAAACATGGCGATGTCAGATCGTATTTGTAGCTGTGTCGGGGCTCAAGGCATGTGGGGATCCAAACTTTTTATTTTTGGTACTTTACAAGTCTTTGAAGACACCACAGTGCTGTCTGCTGGTCGCATCAGAAATACTCTGGCAAATGGTCGATAGTCTATCCAGATCTCCTCTCGACAGCGTGAAGTAGGGCGTCTTGATTACCAGTCATGGGGGCGGTTGGAGTGTAGGACATCTTCAAATAAAAAGATCACGCCGAGCAGAGTGAAGCGCCGGTGCGCCGCCGAATTGAGAGAGCGTGACCTTGCCCAACTTCTGACTGATCCTTTAGCATGACTTGCGGAAGATTCCGAGCGGTACTGAAAATTCAGGGCACGAAGAACTTTTTGCGAAATTGGTGTAATATTCATAACACGTAGCCAGACAACGATGGAAGGTTAGCTGAAACTGCAAAAGTGGATGCTACTTCAGCAAACATGTTGCGGAATCTTCGGAATTCAAAAATTTTCTGGCATTAAATGTAATTTGTTGCAAGATTTATGGACCAACCTAATAGTAAGTAGGATGGTAAAGGAGGTAAGCCAACTTGAAGTGCGACAGGTGCGATCGGAGGCGACCAACTGACCTCACTTGCGTGGATTTTGATATGAAGAAAGACTGGAACTTTTAGTTGTTGTTGTAGGAATCTTTAATCGCAACCTCCATGTTTCTTTTCCATTTTATAGTAAAAATGGACCACCGCATACGTGATCACCTCAGACACTTTTAAAGATACGACCAACTTCATTTGAGCCAGTTCTGCCCTTCTTTCCTTTTTTATTCTTTAATATTTACTTTCAATTCCCGTCGCACTTTGAGTTGGCTTACCTTCTTTACCATCCCACTTACTATTAGGTTGTTGCATTATAAATTTCGCTTTTGGACGCACTACAAAATTTGTTAGAACAGCAACAACTCCGCATCTTAGATGAAAAGATGGATACTACCTTATTGTGCCATGCTTCGCCATTCCTCCCGCAGAGACTTGAAGTCCTTCTCGAAGAATCGTAGTAACTGTGCGCAGGTAAACATGAACACCCAGATTCGAATTTTTTGTAATCTCTGAACCGTTTCTCCTTGAAAACGTGCCGCGTTGACTCGATGCGTAGCGCATAGATGGAGTGTGACCAGAGCCGTTTAACGGCGAGATGAAATGCTCCAGCCTGGTCTCGCACTTTTTTCTGGCCATTTTTTTTTCGTAAAATGTAGCTTTTTCGTCGTGAAGTAACTTCATGAAATCATTGGGTTTCTTTCTCGCAGAGCCAATGCACGGTATGATGTAGGTCGATTTTTCATTACAAAGACCTGTCGTAACCGTGTGAGCTAAATTCTTTTCCTCAAGATGTCGCACAACATTCGCGCGTACACACGGAAATTCCGGTCAGTCATCGTTTGAAGGAAAAACCTTGTAAAAAATGATATGGGCAACGACTAACCGCTTTTATACTACTAGACTTCATCGTTCGAACGGATGCTCAAGTACCCCTGGATGTTCGAAGACAGTCGAGTGGGGTGAAGTTAAATCTGGTGCGACATTCATAATGCAACAACCTAATATTAAGCGCTTCGTCTGTCGTCTGTCGTTCTGTGTGTCGGTCGTCACTCTGTATGCTTGTCACGAAATGTCCTAGCTCCTGGTGATCCGTCTGAAGAGACCGGGTCAAGTGTGGAATGGGTGTGCAAGGTGTCGTGAAGTTCAAAACAAACGTCAGCTAAGCGGAGCTCCACCCACAGTGGGCGTGGCGTGCATCGAAGTGAGTGGTGGACCAAGATTTCAGCTACTATTCCAAAACAGTCTCAACAGGTGAAAAACTGGGTGAAGCTGGTTGGTAAGTCAGATCGAATTAGAAAGACCCATCCCCGGTGGGCGGGGCGTTCTCCAAAAAAAACGGTTCTCCATGAAAAAATTCATAACTTAGTTTGGAGTAAGTCTATAGAGCAGAAAAAGGTCAGCGTAGGGGAACGATTTCTAAGGTGTCCCCAGCATACATGACGTGGGCGGAGGCCCGCCCACAATGGGTGGAGCGCGCTCTGATGTGTACAGCGTTTTCTACAGGTTCTCATAATTCAGGCCGGGGTGAGCCGGAAGAAGTTAGATAGCGTAAGGTGGAGGAGTGTATGTCAGCTGTCACGCTGGGCGGAGCATGACTAAAGAGGGCGGAGTATGCGGCGAAAATTCATAACTCGGTTTCAAGAAGTCCCGGTGACCGGGGAAAAAAGTGGATAGAGGTGGGTGGAGGAGTGGAGGTCAACTTATATTGGTGGGCGAGTCAAGATCAAAGTGGGTGGAGTTTGCGACGAAAATTCATAACTCGGTTGGTCGGGAGAAAAGTGGATAGGTGGGTGTAGGAGAGGAGGTCATCTGATATTGGTGGGCGGAGCTTACTCGCGAACCTAAAAATAAATTAAGGGACAGCGCGGAGACCGGGAAAAAGTGGATGGAGTTCAGCCAAAAGAAAGAAGTCAAATTTTACTGGTGGGCGGGGCACGGCCAATGTGGGCGGAGCTGCGACGAAAGTTAGTTAGGTTCAAGCAAGTTTTGGAGACCAAAAAAAGGTGGATAGAGGTCGGCGAAGGAAAAGAATTCAATTTTTATTGGTTGGCCGGGAATGACCAAAGTGGGTCGGGTTTGTTGTCAGACCTATTAGGTTGTCTCATAAATAGTGTCGCTTTTTTTCAATCAAAAAATTTTCATCTAAGTTCCCATGCTTTTACATCGAGTCATACGCCATTCGAAAGAGAATTGTCTGCTCTACAAGATGTTTTGTTCTTCTCACAATTAGATCTACTTTACATGGTTTTCAAATTTTAGGCCTGCGAAATGGGAGGTCCAGCCGATAAAAATTGACCAAACCGACAACTATCTCTAACTTTAACTCCCATGGGAAATCAATCATTACTGTACCCTCTCCTTACTCATGACCTCTTCTGAACATTCCACCCTTAGGTTGCCGAAAAAGGTTTGCCCTGTTTCTTTTCGAATTGGCCGACCGATAAGCCATGGCAATTTTCAAATTGAAGTTCTTCCTCTGAAACGCTATTGTTTTTTATCAACTGGTGTATCTTTTTTGAGTACTCCTTCTGCTCTATTTGCTCATTTGTTTTGTTTTAATGTTTGTTAGGAATTAGCTCGAATTCAGGTATTTAGGAGTAAGGTGCTTTATCCACGAAAGTGACCGCGTTTCTTTGAAAAATTAGCATCTGAGAAGATGAGAAAATTAATCAGGCGTGCACTCCTAATTTAGTCATGGCTTGCTCTTTAAATTCTACAAGTTTTTCAATGTCTCCGCTATAAAAGAAAATTTCGACCTCGATCTCAGGTAATGGTGCTTGACCTTCGAGTTCTGGTTGAAAATCCAGGTCTGGAAATGGAATGACGCGACTTGGGAAACCTAATAGTGTAATGTTTAGAAGAGCTCATTTCTCCCAAGGGGAGATAAAGTTACAGATACTTGTCGGTTTGGTCAATTTTCGTCGGCTGGACCTCCCATTTCGCAGACCTAAAATTTGAAAACCATGGAATATAGATGGAAGAGAAACACAACGTCTTGTAGAGCAGACAATTCCCTTTCGAATGGTGTATGAGTCGCTGTAAAAGCATGGGGATTTAGATAAAAAAAAATTTGGTTGAAAAAACAGCGACACTACTTATGAGACAACCTAATATAAAACGTTTCTATGAAGTTCGAGAGTTCGGGAAAAAGTGGATAGAGGCCGACGAAGGGAAGGAAGTCAATTTTTATTGGTGGGTGGAGTATGCACCAAAGTGGGCGCGGTTTGCTGCCAAGCATATAAATCGCTCAGGGACAGTTCAGAGACGGGGAAAACGTGGGAGAGATTGGCAAGGAAGAAAAAGATGTGTGAGACATGCACCGTAATAGGTGGAGTTCACGACGAGATTCATAAGTCGGTCTAGAGGCAGTCCGAAGACCGGGAAAAGCGCAGACCGAAGACCGGGAAAAGCGGAAAAGCGCTAAGTTTTTTCTTAATAATGCCTTCAACCAAACCAAAAAACTGAGAACGCGTGCTGCCGTCTATGTGTTGACTTCACCCTTATGAACCTCAGAATAGTGAACGCTTCCACTCCCGAAGTCATCACACGAAGAGGGTCTAAATCCCTGGCTTCTGGACTGGCTGTTTTTCTCATAAAGGCGCACAACACTTGGCACCTCTACCTCTATATTTCAATGATATGTCAAATATGATATGTTCAATGTTGTCGCGAAAGCTGCCTTTCATACCGAATATGTCATTGTAGTGAATCCAACCGAGATTGAAATTAAAGTCTATTCTGCTTACATTTCGGCGTATTCGCCTTCTTCAAAGCCTGGAAAGAGGGAAGCCATTCACTATACTACCCGTCCAAGTACTATTTCAACCTTCAAGAATCACTCAGAAGGAGTGAACTACTAGGGCAACGTCATGGGATAGAAGAAAGGCAACTAGCCCTCTTCTAAGGCTCTGATGAGGGCTAAAGCGCAACAACATAAGCTGGGAAGCTGTCTTTCATGTAAGAAATAACTCGGTCTTCACCAGACTGAGAATATCTTGCCAAACCTAACATTTAAAATTGCTATTACATTGGCTCAGATATTCATGTCGCTTTAAAGATTCACATGGGAAATTCTCATTACTTTTTGAAAAAACCAATACTTGAAGGGACAGCACAAGAATGATAAATGAAGCAAACAAGCGTAGTTGGTAGTATTTTAGACGACATCTAACGAACACTAAATGGGAGACGATTTTCTCCATCTAGTACAGGACAAGGTAGGAATAGGTTGTAAGAAAGACGAAGAATAAGTATAACCGTACCGGCTTCTTTCTTTGCATATTGGTCGCCTAATGCCTGGTAAGATTCCCAGATGGTTGGTTGGATGCCGATCGAGTGCGTTGAGACTTGGCGGGCAACTGTAGGCTAGAATGGATTCTTCTTCAAGATTTAAAGATTTAGCCTTATCCTTAAGGTATATCCTACCTCTGCAGAATCATTATTCCGATGAACCTCTACTGCAGCTGGAAATGTTGGCGGAGGTGGAGGTGGAGGTGGAGGGGGTGTTGCAGATGGATTTTGCGTAATCGTTGGCTGCGACGATTGCGAAGCAGAAGGTGGACGTGATTGTGTTGGAGGTGCTGCTGTTGGTGTAGGCGTCGAAGCAGGAGGTGATATTTCTTGCATAATCGGTGGACTACTGATTATTGAAGGAGTGGGAGCAGTGGAAGTCGTCTGTAAAAATGGACCACTAAGCATTCAAGATTTTCAAGTAATAATGATTAGTAATGATTTCTGACTGCAAAATTCTTTCCAGGATTTTCGTGGTTCCGATCAGAAATAGTTTTCCATCAAACTCAGGCAGATTACAGCCAGCAACAAAACGAACAAAATCGGAAATGGAACGACACATAACGAAACAGCCAAAGTCCTCAGCCCACTTCAGTTCAAACCAGCATTGTTTAGCGGCCTAATAGAAGTTTAGCAGAATTAAGCAATTAGTTGCAGAGTAGCGGATTGGGATGGAGGGGGCGGGGGACGGTGGACATGTGCGTCGCGGTCTCGCTGTGGCTTGTGACCGGCGATCCCTTCTGTATTGTTTAGGTCACGGTATATCGACATGTACATTTAGTGAAGGGCAATTGTTCAAGAGGTTTGTTCAGCGTGGGATCCAGTGGAGACGCAGACAGCGACATAGCACGTTTCACGATGAGGAAGAAGAATCCGAGGATTAGCTCAAACAGCGTGACAGATCGAATATGTGCGCAATGTCGCACCGTGACCTAACGAACACAGTGCAACCGCTCATGGAAGGTACTCTTGTTAGGTTGTACAGAAAGTTCATGAGATTTTCAATGTAAGGTGCCTTATTTCTAGATAGGCTGTAGAGCACCACTGCATTTAAACATGCTTGAAAGCGCATTTCGCGCATTTCTCACCTTATGTAGGGTGTTACCAGTTTTGTTCCTGTTGACTCTCTAAACTTCCCAGAGGGTAAAAGTTAGAAATACAACACACTTTGAGAGCTAGTTTGCACCATTTTCCTACCCACTCAAATTTGTCTGGAAAACAGCGGGAGAAAGTCCCAAATTCTTAAAAAATGCCATGCAGTGGTGATTTGAAATGACTTGAAGCGACGGCGAGTGCCTCGCAGAAAATGTGAGTGTTTCCGATACAGTAGATTGACAACGATTAACCGGAACTTCTAACTAGACCAAGTGTGCATGGATTGTGAAGAAGTTCCTTACGAATTAGGCCTAGACAAAAGGGATTTCCAAACAGACAGCTGAAGGTGGAAAGCCGAAAGTAGACGATCAGTGGCTACCAGTAACATTTTCTTCACAGTTGCATAGCCGCACTCAAGCCTGCATAAATTGAGTCTGTACTATGTAACTTTGCGGCGAGCAGCTTGCTCATCAACGGCTTTCATACCGACTGTCGCGTTTCAACCATGGGTGGCCCTTTGATGCAACGATCCTGGATGAGTCGTGTGGAAGAACCTGCTCTGGGGTTGGGATCGTGTAGTCTACAAGGATCGCAGATGTGCGCTGTGGCGGTTCAAGTCTGCGCGACAATGGCGCTAGTGCCTACAGAGTAATCCGACGGCGTCCTTTGTGAACTTAAAGGCACAAATCAGGCAGGAGTCGCGTGAACGACTCCCTTCCGCATGCAGGATAAACCTCGAGAAAACAGTCACAGATGTGGCACTATCGTGCTTGGAATCACTCGAAAAGGGTGCTGGGAGCTTGCAAAGTAAGCTGCAGCCAGCTGCACTGTTCGACATCCGCATAAAGCTGTTGTCTGGCGCCCTCTCACCTGCTCTGCCCTCTCGCCTCATACTCTCCTCTCTGCGCTCAATCTCTCGTTGCCTCAGCACAGCCGAGGTACAGAGGTATCCAAGCCCTCAACACGTTGACGACAACGCGCGTTTTGGGTTTTCGCGCCGCATGGGACCACGGCAGTTTTGCAGGCGCCGCCGCCTCACATCAAATCCGTGGATATTGGGCTTTAAATACCCAAAACTCGGATGCAACAAAATGTTTAGAATTATATTTGACGTGTCAAATTTATCAGAAGGGACAACTGTAAAAAATCGACCGAATTGACGTTTTCTGGCGATGATAGGCTGACTTGCCAAGTTTCAGTTGCTTTCGCTACAGTGAAGCTCAAAATTATTTTTGAAGCGGTTGCTCCATTAAAAACATATACCTTGCTATATTTGTGGGTCTGTACTTACTTCTACTACTCTTCTTTATGGCTAAGGTTGTCACAATATAAAGAAATCTAATAATTAACACAATTGGGAAATTCGTATGACTTGGAAAACCGTCGCTAAAAAGCAGCATTTAAAGCATTCAATGAACCTCGCCGTGTCTAGTCATATTATGGTGTAGTCTATGGAATAGATACAAAAAAAGTAGAAAAGAAGTAGCGAATGCGCGAAAAAATGTTTTGTGTGCATCGCATCACACCTTGAGCACCGTGTGAGACCGTGTGCAGGGCATGCGCTGCACACGGTCCCACACGGTGCTCAAGGTGTGATGCGCATGCGCTGCACAATGTCGCCAACTTGTTAATCAACTGTTTTTGATATATTCTTCTCTTTCTAAAGTGCTGGCCGTTTAGCACCAAAAGTTCCGTATTCGTGTACAAAAACCAGACCAATTCGATCCTGGGGCATGCCTTCAAGGACGGGCTACCCATGACATGCGATGCAGTTTACGACGTAGCGGTTAAGATAACTGATAGGTAGCTAGATATGGCAGCCTCATCGCATAGATGCGGTTGCGCTCAAAAACTCGTTTAGGCACGTCCTTCCCAAAATACAATTATCCTCTAATATCCCTTCAATTTGAACTGGAGTTGTGGCTTCAAGAAGTGATTCCGCGATAACCTGGAGGTCGAAGTACCAGAAACGGGACACAAGCTTGGTGCGGGATGGAGCGCTTTCGCCAGCGAAAGATGACGTCGTAGCGCCTTAGCAAGGCCATGCGCTCGCGCCACTATCCGCTCTCCGACTGGATACCTTTGCCGTCGGACTCTAGCAGCGGATAATAGCCATTTAGAGGAACGTAGAGCAGAGCGCTCGAGTGATAATTTCGGCTCCATTTATAGTGTTTAAACCGATTTTCTTGGCTTTTCCATTCTTGCATCACTACCACCTCTACCCTTATTCCTGATGAGCTGCTTTTTTATTGTGAAATCCCCCTTCAAAAAACAATATCTCAAAAAGCAATACTATTCTGGAGCGACCTCCGCCAAGATCATCCGCTTCTAGAGTCGAGCGTTCGGATCAACCGACTGATTGACCTTTGCCATCATCCAATGTTTGAAGACGTGAGATTTTTTATTCCAGTCGAAAAAGCTTTACTCGCTTTACTCGAGCCGCTTTCATACATTTGCAGTGTTTTTGGTCAAAAATTGCAAGAACTTTCTGAACGACCTAATAATTTGCCGTCCTAACCATAAGTCCCACGTAACCGCGCCACACTGAGTAACTTTCCCAGAAAAAAACCCATGCAACAGGCAGAAATGGGAATCCATCATAAATGTGAAATTTTGCTCTTGCTATACTTTTCAAACTCACTTTTGCATCGGAAAGCAGAAAACGCTATTTTTCAGAAGCGAGTCTAAATTGTTTTCAAATTTGCACACTGAAGGTTGACGACTGGATAATCCTAATCGATATGAATTTAACAACAAATACCATATGACGCCCCATTCACCACAACCTGTTGTCCTGGTCATATTTGCCAACAATCTCTACAATTAACTCCTACTCTTTGCAAGATAAACAAGATGTATTTCTACTCCTCACATTTGTAATTTCAGGTATAACAAGTGAATGTTGCGAGGCAGATTTCATCGCGAGAATATCTCTGCCTTCCGAAGCCTTCGCATCGGGTGACGAAGATTGTACAGCGATTCCAGGAGTGCCAACCTGCAAAGTTATTGGCTCTATAGTTCACTTTCATTCGGTAAATTTTTCAGCCACGATCTAAGGATACCTTGTCAAGAATGGGCGTTTCACCAACGTGCGGCTGCACAGTGCCAGGGATGGACTCGATTTCTCTAATTGCAGTTGGCATACCATTGGCTGTTGTCGGCTGCTGGACGGAATTTGGAGCGTGGTGATTGATTACCGTGGCAGATGTCAACTGTAGGAGGTACACAGGTATTACACTTCAGTTCGGAAAACTTTGAACAATTGTTTCTTAATTGAGCATTTCAAGCCATTTTCCTCAATCACAACATAGTTGCACATTAACTTGTTTTGTTTACCCATTCGCAACAAGGCGTGCTTCCAGGCAATTGTAAATGGTAGCCACTGGTATCAAAGAAGGTCCCTCCTTCCCCATTTCTGGAATGAAATGAAGTGGGACAGAGAAAGTATTTTGCTGAAACTTATACCCTGCAACTTCCTTTGTGTAACCTTTGGAGAGGCCTAGATGCATCGATAGAGTCTTGAACGCTGATTACAAATATGGGCACTAAAATGCTACATGAATTTCCTAAGCATGTTCTGAGAATTCAAGTTTGCAAAAAACGTTACTGAGGTGAGCTTGCCTGATGCAATCACGGCCAGCGTGGCTTTGCACCAAAACGAGTCTCAATTTCGTAATCACGCACCCACTGACCTTTACAGAACAGTAAATCAGGCTAAACAACCCCGATTTCACCAGGTAAGCCCGCCTCAAAAACGTTTTTTGCCAACTTCGATAGCTCGTAACTTTCCTTGGAAGTCCATGTTGCAGCTTTAGTGTCCATATATGTAATCAACGTCTAAGTCTCTAAAGTTTAAAACATTTCCTGGTAAGAATAGATGGTCGCAATTATAAGTCGAAACAAAAAAAAATATTTCAAAAAAAGTTTCGCAAGAACAATCTGAGCCGTTTCCATTTCCCTGTTTTGGACCGTTCTGGTTTCTCGAGAAGGGACTAATAAGCTTTCCTTGCACTCTGCCGTTACCCTAATTATCAGAGTCGAAAAGTGAGATATTGCGAACCTCCTTAGCGTCCTCGACTTCTACAATGGTTGGTGTAATGGGAAGTCGATGGCTTTTGTCCTTCTTTTTATCCTTCTTGTCCAATTCGGCCATAGCCATTTTCATGGCCATCTCTCTTTGCCCTGTAATGAAAGCCTGATCATGTGTTCCAGAAAAACTGCAGAAGTTACCTCCAGCGTTCGCCTCCAGCAAATTCGACATGAGAGCAGCGATGTGCCTATTCTCCTTTTTGCCTTTCTTGCTCTTCACAGCCTAGAATTTCAGGTTATCTGATTTTCATTAAAAATTTTGCAAGAACAGGGAAATCAGAAAGTGAAATGAAGCGTCTGCTGAGTCATGCGATTTTTGCGGAGAAGCACGAATAACGAGCAAAAATTGGAAGGAGAATTGACCAAAAGCAGGACCAGTAGGATGTCTCAACGAGTACTTTTTCATCTTCTAACAGGAACGAGCATACAGTTGCGACGTTGTTCTTGTTTCGAAAACTTGGGGGTCTTATTCTAATCGCTTAATTAATTGTTAATGAATCGGTAGCTATATAACTTCAAGCAGCCACTCACAGATCCAGATTTCTTAGGGTGGACCGAGTTGTTTTGGCGAGGACAGCAGTGAAGAAGAAGGAGCAATATCAGTGGAATAAGTAGGAGCAGACCCAAAAGGATAAGCAACCAGAATATCAGGCATGCTCCGAATAACATGATGCAGCTGAAAAGGCATTTCATTGAAATCATGTTTTACCACGCGCAACGGTGTCTGACAAATAGACGAGTGACAACACTGCATTTCCACTATTTATTGGAAATAACGCCAATCTTGGCAGCAGCTTTGAGATTCTGTTCTAGCTTGCACAGTAGTACATCTAGTACTGGTTTATCTTACCACTTGACAGTTGGTCAACTGCGGGTTGCTCCAAAACCTGATAAATACTGCATCACTAATTGTAAGACGACATTACCCTCTCCATTATTTTCTCCATCATTCTCTTGCCCGGAAAGCTGTACATGTAATTAGTAGTATGCGTTGGTACACAGAATTAGTGCGGTTGCAAATCAATTGCAGGTTAATTCAAAGTAGTAGCTTATAGCCGCATTTTCTATTTCACATTACAGACAACATATGCTACAAAAAACCTAGAGAATATTACCAGTTACTATTGCGGGTGAAGAACTGAGATCATTTGACTAAAGACAGGGTGAGTATCGGTCGAGGATTCCTCCACGGCGCGTCGAGGATTTTCACCTGATCGGTCACGGTCTTCCGCGTGAACAGTCCCACGTGCCATGCGCGAGCTATCTGTGCTCTCCACGTGTACGTTCACTCTCAGCACTACTCTCACACGGTACGGGACCATCATCGAGAAGTTCCTCGACCGTTATTCACTCTGCGAAGGAGGAATTCACGATAAGAATAAAGGTCGAAGGAGGAGGAATTCAGCTAGCAGAGACCGGCGGACCTTCTCAGGGTGCGGATTGACGCGCAATAAGCATCGAAAGATGTTACCTGAGCGACCCAGCAAAGCTCATTCTTATTGCAGTTGGCGGGGTCCACCCACCGACCATCTAATCACTCGCCGCACGTCTATACGTGGCGAGCGATTAGATAGCGTAGAGTTGAAGAGGGCACAGCGATGAGAGTTGCATTAATGACCAATGGTACCATTTCTCGTGTTCTGGGCCGTTTCTGAGGTTTTTCCTTCTTTCGTGTACCACTCACCACCCCTAAGTTAATTTTGAAGTGGTTACTTTTCCATCGTGAATTCTGCCTTTGAACCCCACAATGATTTCAGGCGGATCAACCACCTTGATGGATGACATCAACCACTTTAGGAATTTTGTTTGGTTCTATGAGTGATGGTCATGAGTGTGCCTTTGAGGACAGTGATTACGCTGCGTCTATTCCAAATTGGAATGGAAGGCGATTAACCCTTGGCGCAAATCTCATTCACTGTCTTGTTACCTGGCTCGGCATCTCAACAATCAGGCGTCCATTACTCCATGACCGGTTTCTCATGCAGGCAAGTATCATCCTTTCAAATTGAGCTTGAAAAGCCAGCTACAGCTTTGAGATTCAATCAAGAACTTACTCATCTTCGGTCGAATATCCCTCGCAGATTTTTCCCAGCCCGTTCGATGTGTCATTGGTGCCCGGTTTACAGCGACACTTCAGCTGAACATCTTCTACTGAACAATCAGCGTGAACGTGACAATAATTGGATAGTGCATCATCGCAGAGAGGTGCTTCTGGAAAACGTTGCAACTAATTATCATAATTTCGAAAGACTATACAAAGGGAGTACAACTTGAGTAAAGTAACCAAGAAAAAATAAAGCATCAGAGGTACTAATCTCAACCTTCTATCTTAGGGTTTCTTGAGGATTGCCCACGCTTCAACAATTGCAAGAACACAACTCGGTTTATCTAACTTTCTGTGCAGTGTACTTCTTGTCCTATTCAATTCTTTCGTTTGCCTTTCTCACTGCAGGCTCGAACATCGTCGAAAGAGGTTGGGTCGAGACAGAGCCGAACGACCAATACTTCACCAATTTACTTCACATATTACTTATCATTAATATTTAATTAGCACTATCTCTATTCAAGCACAGACTGGATAGAAGAAGCTTAAAATAATTGAAAACGCTCCTACCTTCCACTGAGATCGATCTTTTGCTTCCTGATTTTTCCTGCATCAGATCCCGAAAGTGTGATAAAGTGCAAGGAGACCCACACAAGGAATTCACTATGACATCTCCATTAGAGTTCAGCCTGACACACGATGGAATCTTCGTAGTCTCCCCTAACTGAAATAGGAATACAATCAAAGAGAAGATCAGGATTAATTTGATGTGGAAGTCCCACTCGAATATGAAAGCAGGGATGGGATATGGCTAGCTGAAGAAATCGTGAAGAACACAGAAAATACGAGCCCTCTCGCTCTATGCTGCGGAGAAGTCTATGATTTAAGCAAGATGAGAGATAGTGGTTCACAGAGGGTAAAGAGGGCCGAGAAGAGATGAATAATGTGACGCAGATGAAATACGGATATTCCAAGTTTCCAACGTGCAGCGTCTTACAAGGGAAGTCGTTCAAGATGTGCCAAGCTTTTTGAAAATGGTTTCTTGCATGACATTGGGGCACATGCAGGAACCACAGAACCATGGTCAATTATTCCTGAACGGCCCTCTGAATACCAAGAAGGGGTTCCCTATTTCACTCCTCGTAGTGACAAATTTTTGCATTTCGGGTTGACCTTTTAAAATTCGCACAAAATGGAATTAGCATACACAACGAATTCTATATTCGTAATCGGGACCGCAGTAACCCTTACGAAGAGACTTTGATTAAAAACTCGTGAAAAGATGTGACACCGAAACGACCCACGGTGATGTCATAACTTCTCCACTAGATTTTCAACCAAACTTTGTTTTAAGGGCTACTGACGGTCCTAATCATGAATATGGTACTAATTATTCATGCTAACTCCATTTTGCACGAATTCTGAAACGTCAACTCGAAATGCAAAAAGTTGCCGCTTCGACGAATCGAGAGACCCCCTTTATTGGTGTTCAGGGCCGTTCAGGAAAAAGTGACCATGGTTCTGTGGTTCCTGCATGTGCCCCTATATCATGCAAAAAACCATTTTGAAAAAACTTGGCACACCCTGAACGACATCCCTTGAGTGACGCCCTTCGATGTGCGAAAGTGTGTTGAAGCACACTTCTCTATCTACAGAAGCACTACTTCAATGAGGGTGCACCAAACCATTTTTAAGAGTACTACTGCATGCACAGAGATGATCCCTCTAAATGAATGACCGATGATTGTTCTGCGTTGTGTAACTGTTTAAATTTTGAGTACTACGGAACGAATGAGAAGGGCTATTGGGGTCTTGGTAGGATACAGGGTTGGCATGTTGCTCGGAAAACAAAATTGACGCTTCAAGTTTCTGTTTCGGGCAGGTTTTTTTGGCCCATAATTCAGTTCCCTGTTGTAAGGATTGCATTGTTTATTTCGGTTCACAAAGCATAACAAAGCTGCGGATACGTTCCTGCCTGTGATCATTCTACTTGCGCCAATTACCGGCATAATGTGAACACCTAAATTTTCTAGAGATATTTTCTGAGCATGTCAATATTTTCCAATGGCAGTTTGGTCGCTGGTTGAGTAGTTTCTATTTCAAATACATGTTAGCTAAATATATGAAACGCACGTCTATGGCCCCGCAACGACACTAGAGGGCAGCATCAAATCACTTTTAGTAGCAGTAATGGTGACAACGATGGAATTTGTGCAGTTCGGTCTTACTACATTTTGTTCCAATCATGAGAAGACCCCGTGCCACTTCTCTTCCCCTCCCCTCCTTGCGTTCTTGAACAAATCGGCAAATTCTTGTGGGTAGGGTTTACTAGAGATTCAGACAAGTACCACATCTAGAGCCCATTATTTTTCGTGTAGAAAACGGGATTACAATCATGCCTAAGAAATTCCATCCCAAAACGAGGCTAGCACAATCTTTAGCTAGAATCCGATCCCACTAGAAACTGTATGTATTCTACTTGAAAAATCTCATGACAGGATGGCTTACAGTAAAGAATGCGAGAACCGAAATGTCCGTAAAATTGGTAACGTTTACAAATGTTTCTCAAATCCTCTCCATTTTTGCCAACGAGGCTTCAATTAATGCCATGAACTCATCGTTTCGCTATTCCCTATCGCTTGCTCTATAAAATCATAAATCCGAAGAGCTTACATACCTTTCCTATAGCTATCCATTTCTTTTGCTCTGGTGTCAGTGTGTCTTCATCACAGGCTGAGCGGATGTCGAGCTTATAGAAAGCTAGATTGTCTTCACTGGCTACAATAAAGACTATTTGAAACTTCCCAGTATCCACTCTCTTCACTACAGATATCGAATAAATGTGATTTGAAAAGCTCTAAGACTTAATACATTAGTTCAAAAACCCACCTTCGCAATGCTCATTTAGAAACATTTCTCCTGTTGGGCATTGACATTCGCGTGATGCATATCGATTTTGCGAAGTTCTTATCAAATCCATCAAACACGAGTTCATTACCGTGATGGTCGTTGTTGTAAGCGTTGTTGTAGTGGAGTAGCCAACAGTTGATTCAGCTGACTCGGAAAGACCAGGATTCGGCAGCAATGAAGCTGAACTTGCAGCGTTGGAATCTGTCGTGACTTGATGGCCAAGTGGGTTGATTTCATTTGATGTCACTGAATGGTCCGAATAGTCGTTATCGATCTGATCGATCTGTGGAGGACTTGTGGTACGGAACTTTGGGTTTACTGTTCCCTGAAGATCCGGCAACGGTATCATTTCATTTGGATACCCTTCAGATGGTGCCGTTGTTGTGAAGATAGCCTCCGTGGTTGTTAGAAGGTCAGCAGTGTTTTCCGTTGAGTATTGTTCGAGCTTTGGTGTGGATGGGGCCAGTCCTTGCTCACCATGCTCGCCGTCTGATGTTCCTTGACTTGATGAGGAGGCGATAAGGTCATCACTACCAGGGTTGCTCTCTCCTGTAACCACATGAATATGGGTAATCTTTCCAGAATAGGTGGTGCCACGTATTGAAGGCCGGAATGTTGTCGTGAGGCGTCCTCGTATATGTGGTTTGGTCGTCGTTAGGACGGCAAGACTCACTGATGGAGGCATACGTGTAGAAGGATTTACATGAGGAAGATATGGTTGTGATCCTTGTCCAGTAGTATAGCCCGGTGAGTTCGGTGAAAGTGGAACCTGGGTTAGAGGTAGATAATGGTCGACTCAGCTTAGCAAATGGGTCGTCCGGAGTCACAATGCTATCAGGCACGAGCACAGTTTGTTCAGTGGGCACAACAGGATTAGGTCCCAGTTGAACAACTGAAGGATTAATTGACGGTGTTATCGGCAGCAATGTTGGAAATGGCGGTGGCAATGGCGGTAAACCGGTAATTTTCGAAAGCTGTACTGGAGGTGTTCGTGTAAAAGACGGTGATGAAGTTAAATACAAATCGGGCGAAGGTAGTATAGGCAGTGGTGGGAACAAAGTAGGAAATTGAGGTGGTCGAACATCAGGTAGTTGAATAGGATTGGTGAGCTTCAGAAATGCATCGGTATAGTTGAGAGGTGGAGGCATGGCGACTTGTTTTGTTCGATTGTAGTAGCATCGAAACGAGAACTCCAATGCTCGAACGTAGAGTTGATCTGAATGAGAGAAAATCAGCTCCTTAAAAGTATTCTAACAAAAAATATTAGCTCGAGTCGTAAATTACTAATGCCGATTTGACGGAATCAAATGTTCGCGACTTTCTTTTTATTCACCTTGACTGAGTGTCATATTTGCCTTAGCTGCCTACAAGTGTCCTCTATCTATCCGCGAGTGAAATGATACCTCTGTCACAGAGCTATGCAATCTTCGACGTCAAGAGTCAGTGGATGTCTATTTTAAGGTGTTTGCCATCTTTGTAGTTTTTCTCGTCAAGGAAATGAGCAAGCAAGAGGAACAACTGATGATTTTTTGCTATACCTTAGTGGATTATAAAGAGTGGAGGAATCAGAGGCCAAGTTTCTGTATAGTTTTTTGGCATTCATCGTTCCATGTGGGTTGCGAGTTGCCCGCAGTAGAACATTTTCACGTATAGAAAGCGCCAACTTTGAAAATCACAAGCAGGTTTATCCAGCTGTGAGCACTAGACAGATGTCTGNGCCAGCAGTGGTGGTATTGTATACAGTTTGTAATGATGAAATCCTACAATCGGAGAGCGGAATCTACTACGGGTGAAGTTCACCTGTTGGGGCTCGTTGTCGCTGCTGAGCTGTTCAGCTGCGTGCTTTCCTGATGCCTCGGTATGTTGCATGATTAGCCTGTGCACCAGGGTCAAAGTATCGAGGAAAATTCATCAAGAAACATTACTATCCCACTCCCCCCCCCCTCCCCCACCAAAGATTCGTCAAGTATAAAAAGCCAAAGGAAACTCATCAACAATGAATTAGAGCACAAATGGAGTAAAAAACGACGAACTATTCATGAAAAACAACAGAGTACGAGTATCTCTTCTTTCTTTATTTCCTTTGGGAAGCTTACCAAGCCGCAGTACTACATAGAGCATGCTCCCAATCTACACGTCCACCCCTCGGTTGAAATGAACCTTATAACCGCCTTAGTCAGCTGGGTGTTGACGGATCTTTTGCGTTGGCCTTGGAGCTGCTTATGTATTATTGAAATTCGCCCACATATTGAAAATGATTATAACTTTCTTCAGAATAAACAAATTCCCAATCTGAAAGCAGATTTGAAATTTTTGTAAAGAGATCTTTCTAAAGAGTATTCAATTTACGAAAATTTATGAGAAATAAAATAAAGATTGATTAACGAGAAAAATTTGTGATGAGCTCGAGTGTCTACACTTTCTGAGGCCATAACTTGCTTCCTTTTTTTCAAATCTGAAAAGTTAAAACATCGTCATAAACTAAAAGATTTCCTATATTCAACGCTCATTGGATCAATTCAATACGTTCAGTATTTTAAAAATAGCCTTGTTGACGATTTTTGCCTGAGTACCGCCGAAAGGTACTTTGCGCCGCATTTACTTTTTTTGAACGACTACAGCTCCTTTCAGGGGCGGTTATGTACAAATTTGGGGGAGATTTGAAATCCAAACGCTTTTTTCTTGCCAATGAGTGTAAAATTGTTTAGCAAATCTCAGCTTCAACGATTACATGCCTATAAAGTTGACACTGAAGACTGTATTTCTTCTTAGATTGTGGATTCGGTCGTGTCTTTTACACGACCCTTTTGGAACCCTGAATCCTCTTGGGTTTTTAATCGAGATTCTTCGCATCAGAGGCCTGTTGATTCGCGCGCAACTGACTGGGCCCACTCTGGGGCGCGCCGTTACTTCATATCCCTTCATGTCGGTGGACTCATTTGAAAGAAAAAATGTTCATCGAAACGAATTTCGGAGTCCTTAATCTTGTCGTAATAAATCACTGAGGTAACTTAGAATTATTACGCGGACTCATTTGAACCACGAAAACTTTAGGTTGATTAACATTGATATTGGAAATCCTAGCACAGCAACGATCTCTCCTTGATGTTCGAGTTTTTTGGAGTCCTCCGATGGTGATGATTTCACTGCATCAATCCAGCTCGAGTTCTTCCTTCCAGCGGGCCAAATACGATCACCGTGCCGACCTTTCGAGCACAGGGTCAACCATCACGTTCGAACATTTTCTGGATTTTTACCCCCTAGCTCTCGAGGGGATCCAGTTGTCTCTTTAATAAGAGTGCTAGACATGAATCCGTTGCGCCATGAAGCGTCTGCGCCGCCGTCGCAGAAAGCCCCTGCGTTGCGGCGTTAGCCTTGGAGCGCGATAGGTATCACTCGGGCGCTGGAAGAACGGGACACGGCGAAGAAAAAATTTTAGAGGGGAATAACTTTTTTGGGACGTACTTTTCTGACTTGTTTAGGTAGATATTGACTGTGCCCGAAGTGCGCTCTCATAAAACTACAAGGACTGCCTGACTCTCCGGAAAGTACTTCTGTTAGAAGTGTTAAACTCAAATTTCTAAGAAGGCGCACCTTCAAATTTGAAGGCCCATAATATCTTTCGTATGCCACCTTTTAAAGAGCTGTCAAAAGTTTCAGAAACTCCAAACATTTCTCTATTAAAACAGTATAAAAAATTTAGTGATTGACCCCTTTTTAAAAAATTGTCCCGTTCGAACATTTTCCGTGCAAAAGCAAGTCTTTGGGCTTTCAGCGGCCATAACTCACTTCATTTGATGCACTGTTTTCATTGGGGTGCGAAGTACAGGAATTTGCTCTTTCGATAAGCAGTCCGACCGCTTTCTTCAAAGTCCACGTTTCCGAGAAAATACGTTCGAACATTTTGTTCTCATAGGTTTTTGAGCAGCACATGCGAGTTTTTGAGCTTTCAGCAATAATAACTTCCTTAATGTATATTACAGTTCTCTAGTAGAAGTGTCCCCAAAAAATTAGGTCTTTGAAGAACTTTATTTTCAGCCCCGAGAAGTCAAACCTTTCATAAGGATGCATTCAACACTTCTTTACTGCGTAGGAAAACGCCGTAATTTGCCTAAAACTGCATCTCTGTGCATAATAAATCAAATCTAATGCGGTCTGCACAAGCAAGTCTTGCCCTCGGATACGCCACGCACGCGCCTGTGACTGGCAGTCCTCAAAATTGCGACCCCCTTCCGACCAAAATGCGACCCCTTCGTTCGAACAGTTCAAACGGAAGGTTGACCCTGGTCGAGCATTCCTCAACGCACGCTCGACCCTGCGCACAGATCACCGCCGTTGAGGGATGTCTTACTTATTCCCAAAATTTCCTACACGTAGTAAACGCAACCCCTCTTTCACTGCTCTCACTGTCTTCAGAATTTGACGTCATCTGCCATTGTCGTACTCTAAGGGACCCATCGTAATGCTCCATCTTGAAGCTGCTACATAATTTCTTATCGAACTGGTGGATAGATTTCTACAGTTGGCAGCTCTAACTATGCAGAGCTCCTGCCAGTCAGTTTTTGGAAAACGTCCTAATGGTCCCTGATCCGTGGAAGACCCTGCTGGCTCGGCTCGCTCACAATGCTTTCGCGGCAGTTTCCTCTAATGTCTATCTGTAGAAGGATTATTGAAAATTCTTTCATATCAATGGAAAGAGCCTCAACATCAGCATTCGGTATGAATTTACGAGAGTGTGATGAACTGCGTTTGAATGTGAGAAAAAATTCCTTTTTCAATCCTTTTTCCCATCCTTGTACATGGCCACCTGGTTGAATCTCCGATTAAACTGCGTCCATTCACGTTTGAAAGTGGGTTAGTTGTTAATAGAATGGTCTTAATGACAAAAATGATGAGTGTGTACTGAAAGCACGGCTAAAGTCGAAGGCATGGTGCACAACGGAAGGGAGTTTATCAAGCGTCAAATATTCATCCTGCTAACCAACCTTAACCTTATCTCCCTTTAATCTTTTTCGGTCATGAAGAAGAAGTAGTTTAACCTTCGTCGCTGCCATCGATGCAATGCTTTTCACCATCGAGTAACCACGGCCATAGAACACATTCGCCATATCCTCGACATGGGAATGCCCTCGGGTCTCCGCATAGCTTTTCTTCTGTAATGATTGCTACTCTTAGAACTTCCTCAACATCCTAGGGATGACACCAAGCTGGTATTGAGCCTTTTTTGAAGTGGTGTGAAAAGCCATACGTCACTGAAGTATCCACTGCAAATCTTTGTAAAGAGCAGATGTTCTACTCAGTACTTTGAAGGATTTGTTTATTTTTATCTATCAAAAATCTATTGGCAGCAGCTCTCACTCGAAACGGAACACCATGGTGGTTGGTTTTTGGAGTCGTCACATCTGGACGAGAACAGACAGCTGAACGCCTGTGACACATCAACGCAATACGCGCCACACTTGACCTGACCGAAAAAGCACCCTGAAACGATATTGCAAGAAGTTCCAAATCAAAACCATGACAACATTGTTTCACAGAACTGGCTTACATTCGTCGCTGCCGTCGTAACAGTCCGGTTTACCATCGTGAAATGACGTGATTGGAACGCAGCGGCCAAATCCACAGTCGAAGTCGCCTGGCAGGCAACGACCCGGTAGTCGACCGGCCACCGCTGAAGTAAGGTTTGAATGCATGGTCAATAGACATCGATGTTAAAGGAATGTCACCAGAGAGAAGTCGCGCCGGGAGTTAAATGTGAAAGCCTTTCTGAATCTCGTCGCACTCTCCGTGTCCTCAGGCTGTTTGCCAGTAATTACGCAGATTGTGTTACTAGTCACTACTTGCGCCGTGGGGCAATGAAGCATCACTGCCGCTAACAGCACATATAGTGTCCAAGAGAGCGCTTACTGTATAAACGTTTTTTACACTTAAATTTGGTTATGCGTCTTCTCGTACGACGTGTTCTCTCGCATGCTCCCTCTCGTCGCGGCCTTTCATCTCTACGACGCAATACCGGCTGCCTCAGAAGAAAAGGTTGTCATTGACTGAATAGTTTTTATAAATCCTTGTGCTTTTTTCCTAACTGGCGGTCTTCTTCGCACCTCTTGCTTCATTTTCATGCGCAATAACACAACAATTCGATCACGAGCCGTGTCTTTAATGGTGATAAAGGGGCCATATCTCTTTTGGGCTGTAGAACCATTGTCGCAACTCGTGAGTATCGCTACTCTAGGTTTCCCTCGGTAGTGTGAGTGCTTACCTAGCTAGACACGTTGACCAGCCAATGATCGCCTTACCTCTGATTGTGCGAGAAACCGCAGCCTCGTTGTGGCATTGATCTTTGCGGTCGGATGTCTTCTGGTGCTGGTTATAATCCAGTCATACCACCTTATTTGGTTGGCCCCACATCTTCTTGGCAGTGTCATTATCACCTAGTTCATTATACAAGTGTCCACAGGTTGCTACTTTCCGGTGTTGTGACACTAGAATATAACAGCATACGTAAGCAATTACGAGTTCAGTAATGTGCCTCGTCCTCCTCCACGAACCCCTGCTGGGATGGCCCTCATTACGTTGCTTGCGCTGCCTTCTTCTTGACTTTTCGCCCAACAGAATATGGTTTACCAATACATCATACTAACGTATGCTAACTAAATTTGCTCGCGCCTGGAAGTTTTTCCTTGGAAGCAGGAAATTTGAACAGTATTGGAAGTTATTTGTATTCTCCCAATTTCGTATTGAAGGTGGCGATGTTTCCCGCTCTTTCCATTCCCCATAAAATCCACAATGTATCTACTAGATTAAGCGCAGGCCAAAATATCAAACGGGGGGGTGTCGCAGGACAATATTGAGTTTTTTTTAAGGTTTTCTTTTTAAAGTTTACGCAAATCTTACTTAACAGAACCACTAATAAGAGCTTCAAGTTCTCTGTAAGTCGCTGTTTTGGCCGGCAGTTCGGCACTAAAAATTTCACAGAGCAAAGCAAGTCAAAATTAATCGCTAAACCTTTCCACCTCATTGCCGATTTTGGCTCACACGTGTAGTGTGAGTGCCGGCAAGCTATGGAAGTACACTATGAAAAGCTAAAGTTGGTGGCACAGCGGTGCCCGCGGTAGCCGTAGTTGCTGGTGCATGTTTGGCCTAGTAGAGCGAGAGCGGGCGGTTCGTAATCCAGCCTGGAGTGGAAGTTTTGTTTTATTAAGAAACCACCAATAATAACAAATAATTGACTACGTTCGTTTCGCTCCTTCCGCACGGCCAGACAACCTCACGGCGCAAGACTTCATATCCCAAAGATAACTCACGAGTAAATATTGCATCATCATCTCTATCGTCCGGATAGTAGGTGAGCAGTCAACCGTGCACGTTTAGCCGAGGCCACGTTCGTATTTTTTCGGAGATGGCTGTCGTATTCAGGGTTTCTAGCAGAAGTAAAGGAATCTTGGCGGCGGAAAAGATCTTGCACTCTTTCCTAACATGGATATGTCAGTGTTGATCACTGGAAACAGCACACAAAGTTTCACGCAAATGAAGATTTCGGCTTTCTGAAAGAGAAACAAACCGTAACAAAATCTACACATTATGGACCATAGAAGGACCAGGAGCAGAGCAGGCGAGGCATGGAAAAGGAGACGCGTTTTTGCGGCTCCGGTAGCCAAGGCAACTGCAATGAGAGAATCGGGTTAAAGCGCGCGATTTCGGAGAGTGGAGACAAATGCAATCGATGGAATAGGGATAGAGTAGAAGTGTAAAGATGTGAATGCAACGAAGCAGAAGGCCCAGAAAGAGCTTTTATGAATGCACTCCAAGAAGCGCAAGTTTGAGCATCCGCGTGCGCCAGCATTCGTGACCCGACGTCCGTGGCAATTCGAACGCGTAAGCAGCCTTTCGAGTTTTCGAAATTTCTAAAATCAAAACGTAAAGCAATACTTCAGTTTCTTTCGCACTGGTTTATCGTGGATAATGAGTCTCAAGCCCCCGTGATTTATGGCTGAAAATAAAATAGAATCACCGATTTTTCCGCGCACGATTCTTTAATCATCAGGTTCGGTAGAACGTCAGGGCAGAGGAAGTTCCAAGGAGGTCGCGTTTTTTGTAAGAGATGGTTGTTTCAGATGATTTTGACGATTTCGTGGTAAGCTGTTTCTGCATATATGAGCACCCTCCCCCTAGCATTCTCCTCCATGGCGTTTTGAAAGGGAAACGGGGGGTGTAGTTTCCCGAACAGCTTCAAAAACACGAAGCAGCCTCGTGGAAGGTGCAGGGTTAATAATACATGTCATTGCGCTACTTGTTGCAGTATCAATATTCTGGTTTGGGCGAAAGTCAGGAAGAGGTCAGCGCAAGCAGACTCATGAGGTCACGACCCCCCAGGGAGGTCAGAGGAGGGCGAGACACATTACAGTAACTCGCTTAATATGGCTTACCCGTATTACTGTTATATCTAAGTTCCGCCAACCCTACTATTCTGTCCATGTCCCGCTTCCGCGCGTCCAGTGATAGATTACGGTCTCTCCGTAAGACCTTACTCCCCTAATCGCCAAAGTTATGCCTCCACCTTATTCAGTCCCTTACACCCTCCTTGCAGTTGCTACAGTTGCTAAAGAGAAACCCCTAAACTCGGACCGATTCCCTCGTTCAATGGGCATGCACCAACCAGGAAAGGCATTCACTTCCTTATGGAACTTTGAGATGAAGACCCAGAGTTTATCGATAGAGCTCAAACCACTGATTACAAAAATGGAAACTAAAACTGCAAAATGAACCCGCCAAAGGAAGTTTGAGCAGTTCAAAGATTGGCTGGAAGTGAGCATTACACTAGGCCTCTGGATTTCAAAGTCGCCTTGGAGTAGTGTACTGCTCTCGGATTTGCGCTCCCGACGGGAGGCCAGCTCTATGACCCCAGGGTGAATAGCGAGGGCACCACCACCTCGCGGAGGCTCTGAAAGCCGCGGCGGCTAGTTGTAATGCATTACTTCAGCGCAACTTTGCACGCTGCACCAACTTCCTCGCAGGTTCATTTTTGCAGTTTTAGTTTCCATATTGTAATCAGGCGTTTGAAAGCTGTCCTATGCGATATATCTGGGTCTCATCTCAAAGTTCCGTGGGTAAGTGTGGATGCCCTTTTCTGTAAGGCCATGGGGCCTTGAGCCTCCCATATTCTAAACAATGTAACTGCCAATTCTAGGCTAAAAATGTCTCTCTGTGGAGCTCCCCGTCAAGCAAAAATCAACTCACAGCCGCTTCGCTATAGGTAGGCAGGTGATCACCAGACGGCGAGGTGTTGATGAGAGGCAATTTACAGCTTAGTTTTGATAAGTTTAGACATTTAAGAACTGGCTCGCTACTTGGTCAAAAAATGTATCTAACATGCGTGTGTGTCAGTGTCTGCAGATACAGCTTCATACTTATGTCAGTTGTAACTACAAAATATCAAGAGCGATGTAGGAGTTATAAATACAAGTTTGATTGTTCCCTGTACATAGTTCAAAGGGTATAGTTAAGGAGACCCTCGGTCTAGCCATTAGTTCAAATATAAGTTAAATAGTAAGTGGAAGGGAGAAAAAGCAAATAGTTGCTCTGATAAACGGATCCACTGCACTCTTCTCCTACGACTCTTGGTACAAGACTCTCCGACTCGCAAGAACCCTTATTGCCTTAGTTATCTCGATGAGATTGCTTATTAAGATATGTTATAAGAAATATGTTATATATGTTATGTTGTAAGAATGTTAAAATTGAGCAGATGATTAGAGTACACTAAGCCTAAAATTTTGACTTACCAGGGAAGGCATTCAAATTCCCACGGAACTTTGGGATGAGACCCAGATATCTCGATAGAGCTTCAAACGTTGATTACAAGTATGGCAACTAAAACTGCAAAATGAACCTGCCATGGAAGTTGTGAATCAAAGTTAGTTGGAAGTAAAGCATTACACCGGGCTTTCAAAACGCCGTGGAGTAGTGGTAGCGTTCTCGGAATTTGCGCCCCGACGGGAGGAGAGCTTATGATCTCCAGGGTGAATAGCGAGGGCACCACGTGTGCTCCGCGGTTTCTCTGGAAGCCCGAGGGCTAGTGTAATGCTTTACTATAACTCATACTATCTCATTACAGTAGGCATTAATACAGTTTTTTCCTTCAACATGGCACTTTTGCGGGAGTGGATGTTGCTCCCTCTCCGAAAATCGCCGCGAAAGGCTCGAAATTCTGTGGATAGCGAAGAAATTACCCTCGCCTTCAAATAACCAGAAATTGTGCAATTGCAGAAATTGACGTGGCATTAACGTTGCATCGATTCAAGAACATCTTTGACCACACCGTGATGTCACCTTTTCATCGCGAACCTTTTCATCGTGGCACACGTGGCTAAATTTTCGATGAAAAGGTGACATCACGTATGCTCAAAGATGTACTTGAATCTATGCCACGTTAATGCCGCGTCAATTTCTGCAATTGCACAATTTCTGGTTACTTGAAGGCGAGGGTCGTTGGAACGATCGCGACCATCGACAGGCAACGATGACATAAAAGGTAAAGAAAAGATTATGCTGGTTATGACTAGCATTGAACCGCGAGTGGACTGTCTAGTTATTCCATAACTATTCTCGAATACTTTGATGAAACGGAGCTTCCAATTGAGACTCTATTATTTTAAAGGGAAGGCGTTTACAGCTATTGCTGATAGATATTAAG